GTTTAAGAGCTCTAAACTGAACTGACTGATAAGACGAGAGCTCTAAACTGACACTGAACTGACTGCCAAGCAATCAGTCAGTCAGTCAGTCTCATCAGTTTGGATTGATTGTTAGCAACTCTGCTTCTAGTAGACCAAGCCGGTGCTAGCTGTCCACATACAAGACCTGTACTATCTACTACGCGAAGCAATTAGCTTGTCCACACTCGCCCGGATCAACTATCCCGTCTCTATTGATATCAAAGCATGAGACTCCCCATTGTATACCCGGCTCACAAATCAAGCACATGCCGCCAGGGCTCGGATAGTTCTAGACATCGCATTACTATCAGCCGTTTTCCTTTTGTCGTCCGACGAGATCATCGAAGAGACATGCTATTGTGCACGGTCACTGGAGAAGGCAACACTTACCGATCCTCCGCAGGCAGCTTGACGCTTGCCGACATCTTGAGGAATAGCTTCGGATGATCGTTCCAACGGCACAGCGATCGCCAGGATTGGCAAGGCGGCTAGCATAGAGAGGCTTAGAACAAATTTCATCTTGGAAAATGATAGCGGCTTGTAGATAGGTAGAATATCAGAAGGAGGACGGTGTATTTGAAGGATGTCAAACTATCGAGACAGAACAGCTTGTTTATATAACTATATTCCAACGGAGCAGTTTCTCGGACATCTCGGACATCGCGGAAGTCACCTAAGCAGTACTACCTTTAGTTTCGGCATACAGTGCCTTGGCCCTTGGCAGTACACGATGCCAGCCTGCTATTTGCTACCAGCCACAAGACAAAAACTGCAATCAGAGACGTTTGTAATCATCTTTGTACGAACCGGATCACGGCTACAAGTGCTGCCTATTTCGAAGTAATGGCAGACGTTCTCACAAAGCCAGTCTATGAACAGTGAGCGAGATGGTGAGAGGCGCTCATTAGCACTAAGACAATATATAGTGTAAGAGTGGACACTTCAGACGCACGTTACTAAAATACAAAAGAATCCGAATTACAAGGCAACTTACCACATGCCTTCCCATATCGTACAAAGACAGCCGTCTAGTGACGACTCACCTCCGTAATGCTCAACAATCCAGAAATCGCTCAAGTTCCTCGACATACTTTACAGGAGACTGGAATAGATGGCCATGTGCTGAATCAGGATAAAGATGTAGCTGGGCATTCGGCAGTCGCTGCTGGAGCACAAAGCTGTTACCTGTCCCCATGAGGATATCGTCTTTCCCATTCGTGACCAACACGGGCACAGTGACGTTGGCCAACTGAGCGTACCGCCGAGGGTCCGATGCAAAGGCGGTCATCGCCGTGATTTGGGCTGCAACACCCGCACCGACAAGAAAGTCTTTTCGCGTCTCGCCCTCCACCTGACGTTCATGTATGCGGTCCCACCAAAGGTTTCCTTGAGATCTGCTTGTGTTTGACGGATAGAAGAAGATATCAAGCATGTATTCTTCTGTGGGCTGGCGATCGGGCTCGCCGCCAGGTCCCATGCCAGCGTCTGGTGCTGTTTGGAAAACATCTGGACCATAACCGGGTCGCGCTCCGGCTAGAACCAGCTTGTTGACCACTTGTGGATAATCTATTGCGATAATCTGGGAGATCATTCCACCCATGGAGAAGCCCAGAATATCAGCCTTGGGCACGTGAATGGCGGCCAGCAGATTTACGACCGTTGCAGCCATAGAGTCGAGGGTTTCAGGAACGCTACCACCACTGTGGCCGATACCGGTGTTGTCCAGCAGAATCACCTCGCAATTCTCCGCGATGGTATTCACAAGAAGAGGATCCAATGCGTCCATGCTGCCGCGGTAGTGGGTCACGAAGACGAGAGGATTCTTTGACGGTTTGCCAAAGTGTCGGTAAGCGATTCGGGTGTTGTTCAAATGGACGAACATCGTCCTGGCAGTTTGCGCCAAATGCTGGCGCGATGCGCCATCGGACATGCCAGTCTTCGCAGGCCTATTCAGAGACGTCTTAGTCTAGTGTTTGTAGGACATCGTGATAGTGACTTACATAGGTGTTGCGACGGCCATAGCAGCAGCGAGGAGGTAGGAGATAAAGGTCTTCATGCTCAACGATCGGTAACAAAGTGCAGTAGCGATGATATGATCAACTTTCAAGATGCTGAAAGTACTGTAGATACAAGTCCCGATGCATTATGATTGTCGGGCTACCAGCAAGCTTTATATCGTTAAGGAGCTGTGTACACATCTCTCAGCATCAACACTCAGTTGCATACCAGTCGTTGTCTATGGTCGTCCCGTTACCTTCGTGTCGGAAAATCGAGTTTGGCCGGTCGCAGTGCTGAAGTTACATCTTGAGCAATGACCAGACAGCGGACTTCACCATCTCTAGCTATGCCAGAAAAGGAAATCTCTCGCAGATTAGACTCAAACACGGGGAGGGCTGGGCGTTCAGCGTACTGACCGTATCGCAGCGGTTGAACGTATCAGTCCGAAGTCGACAGCCAATGCTTGCAGTCGGACGATTAGGTAAAGATCGTAAGGCGACGACACTGGATTTTATCTCCCAAACGCCTTTTATCTCCAGGTTGTGTAGGCTTGGTCTGGCACTAGCACATAAAATCGGTACTTAGATGCTTTTCATTGGCCCAAACTACCAAAAGCACGATTAGTGAACAACGAGCAGCCGCGGTCATTGTGGCTTTTGAGTCCGTGCTGGATTATGTCAGGTTTGACGATACATCTCTTACATTCTGATTGGCACGGTCTCGGTATAATGTGGTGGCCGTGCCCGACAGTCAGCCCGGAGCTAGAGTACTTCCCGTGCAAGGACTTCCCGGAAATGCTTCACTTCCCTATTCATACACGTCAACCAAGGCGTTAGGGTCCTCATGAAGGAACCAGGTGCGCGTCGCAGATGGTGCAACGATGCGCCGATTCAGCCTGGATATAAGGTCAATTGATGACAACACCATGGCCTCCAACTCAATCTGTCGTCCACTTCACTCTCCACATCCGCATTGAACGCTCTACCAAAACCATTCAAGTTTATTCAATCAGTTTCGAGATGTCGCAGACCGCGCTAGTAACAGGTGGTACTGGCTTTATCGCACTCTACGTTGTCAAATTACTTCTTGAACATGGCCACCACGTTCACGCTACTGTCCGCAGCCTAGCGAACAAGAAGAAATGCAAGCCACTTCTCGTTCTTCAAACCCAATACCCAGGGAAGCTCACCTTGTTCGAAGCCGATCTCTTGAGTCACGGTTCTTTCTTCCAAGCAATGCAGGATTGCGATACTGTCTACCACATTGCCTCGCCTTTCCTAGTACCACAGCAAATCAAAGATGGTATGAAGGACTGCGTCGAACCAGCTCTGAATGGTACTCGCAATGTTCTTGTCTCCGTGAATGACACAGAGAGCGTCAAACGAGTGGTCTTGACGTCCTCAAGTAAGTGATCCGATGCCACAAACCATAATGCCCTGATAACAGTCATCCAGTCGTGGCCATGTACGGCGACAGCATCGACATCCACAAAATGGAAAACAAAACGCTATCGGAGAAGTACTGGAACACCACAAGCACAGCCACCACGAACCCCTACAGCTTCTCCAAAGTCGCCGCCGAGCGAGAAGCCTGGAAGATGTACGAAGCGCAAGACCGCTGGGAAATTGTCGTCATAAACCCAGGCCTCGTCGTCGGTCCCTCTCTTTCTCCTGAATCCGCTTCAGGATCCCTGTATATGCTCGAGGCCATGTACCGCGGCGAAAACAAAATGGGCGTCGCCGATCTACACTACCCGGTAGCGGACGTGCGTGACGTTGCTGAGGCACATGTCATTGTGGGGGAAGATACAGCTACGAAAGGCAGATTCATCATCGCTAGCGACCGTAGTTTGAGCTTGCTGGAAATGGCAAATGCCGTGCGTCCTGCTCACAAGACACCAAATGTTCTGCCGACGCGGAACCTGCCCAAGTTGATGGTCTATGCTGCGGGACCGTTCATGGGGTTGTCCATGAAGTGGGTTTCGAGAAACATTGGAATAGGGTTCAAAGTCGACAACCGTAGGAGCGTTTTCGAGCTAAAGATGAAGTATCGTCCTTTGGAGGATACGATGGCGGACCATTACAATGAATGGTTGCGCAACTCAAGTAGCCATTAGGGTTATCGCTCAACATTCATATGTATTGCATGAATTGCCAGGAAGAGATCCCTAACAACTTCTCTCTCTGTCTTGAACTATGATTCTTTCAATTGTAAATACTTGCAAAACAAGTTCGTTGCATCTTCTCCAGCATCGGAACGATATTTTCGCCCCTTTGCATAACCGTCGCATGACGCTGACGCTTCAGGTTCTTCATAATGCGGCGCGAATCGTTTTGCACCTTATTACGTCACTAGTCCACATCCATACCCACCAACTGCTGATCCGGCTTCAGGGTCTCGTCCTCCACCATAACCAAGTCCACATCCGCAGAGGACGACTGCAGCACCGTAGTCCCAAGCTGATTGAAAGAATGAGAAGGACGCCGCTTACTGGATACGACAACAACACCAGCTCTTATGCCAGGCGTAAGCGTGTCGACCTTGTCGCAAAGACCAAGAGCTTCGGCGCCATGTCGCATTCCCCAGATAAGGCCGTCGCCACCTATCTATTCCCTTTTTGTCCCGAGCGCATCCTATTGTCGGTTCTAAGACACGATTCCTAGATATTTGGGTGGTAGAGTATTGAATTGTCTATCCGACATACAAAAGCACTGCAAGATCGAACACGAGTGGCAGAGCAGTGTAAAACGAGGTCGTTTCTTCGGTGTCACCCTGGCACGACAGTGCCTAGTGCCTTGGGAGCGTAATGTTCCATGTTAGCACCCGACCTCAGAACGACGGGTTGCTAGCGCTTGGCGCGTCAGTCCAGTGGAGTAGACAATTACGGATATAATCCCCAGTGGTAACAAGTGATGGTTTTGAGGACTAGAGTCCATACAACAAAAATTTATAATAATGTACATGTGAAGAGAAGTAAACATGTCATTGACATGCTCTCGAGAGCCCACCGTTATAGGAGTGTCCATACGTTCACCGCCTAAATCCGACCAACACCAGCTAGGTTTTTGATGTTAGTGCTAGCTGCTGAGACTGAGGCAATAGGCTGGCCCTTGACGGTAGAGATGAACGCGGTATCAGTTCCACCGAGCTTTCCGCTGGAGACAAACGTATTCATCTGGCAGTTGTGTCCCAGGCCCGTCTTGCAAGCCGTATTAGCGCTGGTTGACGGCGATCCAAAGAAAGCACCCTTGTTCTCGAGTAGGGGCGTGGCAACAGATTGGAAATAGTTGCCTTCAGCCACGACCTTTCCACCAGCCAAGTTGTCGAATGCGTGACCAGAGTTGGAGTACCAGTAGTTGTTGACTGCGTGGAGGAAAGTGTTCTGGCCAACCTTGGGGCTGCGACCGCTAGTGTGGTGGATATAGTTGTTCTTCATTGTGACCTTGTCGGCTGAGCCATCGAGGTAGATGGCGTAGTAGTGGCGGTTATCACAAGTAGCAGACCAGCTAGTCTGACCATCGAACTCGTTGTTGGATAGCGTAATGCGGCCAGCGGCGCCAGTTCCGGCTACAAACATCTGGCGACCAATAAGAGAGAACTTGCAGTGATCTGATCTGTTAGCGGAATTTCTTTTCGATGAACCGAATCTACGTACCAACCCACAGGAGGTCAGACCCTGCATCCGTGGCAATAGCATCACCTCCCCAGATGTATTGAGGATTGATCTCGGTAAAGTGAATGTTCTGGATGATGATGTTCTTGGCCTTGGCAATCCGCAGGCCGCGACCACGGATTACACCTTTGTTGCCAACGCCGATGAGTGATTTGTTCGAGCCCATGTTAATCCCGTAAAGACCTGCTTTATCGTAGGATACCTGGATAGTCTTGACGCCCGCGCCAGCGAATTTGGGCTGACACCAGTTGTTGAGATTGATGGCGTCCTGGCCACCCTTTCCTGGGCATGCGTTTGACGTTGGCCTGCAACCGTTTTCTACAGCCTTGCCTTGGGTACCCTTGAAGTTGTATTCTTTGTCAATAACGATGCAACGGGCAACATTGTCCGTGAGCCACGTCGTCAACTGAGCTACACTGGATGGCACTTGGCAAGCTGCTTTACCACCTCCAGTGACTCCAGTGGCAAATCCCTCAGGCTTTCCTTTCACAGCGTAACTTGCGCGACTGCCAAGGACTGCGGCATCCACGCAGAGAGCACCTCCAAACATAAGAAGTGAGAATTTCATGGTGTTGGATGATGAGAAAGGAAGGTATAGGGTGAGATGTTAATGTGGAATGAGAGTATGGGGTAAGAAATACGCAGAGAAGAGAATGATATGTAGAAGCAGTACATGCTGGTGCTCTTATACCTATCTGTAATGAGATTTGATGTCTCAAGGCGGCTTTTACATCTACTTCGAGAACACAGTAGAGATCATTACAATGAGTTTCAAAGCGTACGAGTCATTACCCTTGTGCTGTGCAAGTACTACAGTAGAGGTTCGCGTAACGCCCAGGTTCGCGTAACGCCCACCCCACCACAACAACAACAAAACTTCAACACCACACAACTCCACCAATATGGATCCGATTCAAGAAGCGATTGAAGAAATCGAATCGCGCGATCCAGGAGATGATTTCTCGTACCAAGCAATCGCGAAAAAGTTTGGAATTGATCGACGTACGCTCGCTCGACGCCACCAAGGCCTTTCAACAACCCGCAACGCTGCGCACCTAGTACTCCACCCAGAACACGAAGCCGAGCTTGTACAATATATCAGAACGCTTAATGAGCGAAGTTTGCCGCCTTCAAGAGCAATGATACAACAGTTTGCCGGCCAGTTGGCTGGCAAACCGGTCTCCAGAAGCTGGGTTACCCGGTTCCTCAACCGTCATCCCAAGAATCTCATCTCTCGTTACACCAAAGGAATGACCAAGGAACGGACAAAAGCTGATTCCGGAGCCAAGTACAACTTGTATTTCAAGCTTCTCCTTGACAAGATGAAGGAGTACGATATACAGCCGCTCCATATATTTAATATGGACGAGAAGGGCTTTCAACTTGGCCGGCTTGGGGGGTCAAAGCGTATATTTGATAAGAGCCTTTGGGAGAAAAAAGAGGTTCGGCAAGCGCTTGAAGACGGCTCCAGCGAGTGGATAACAGTGATGGCTTGTATTTGTTCTGATGGCAAACCTCTAAGCCCAACACTCATCTTCCAGGGAGCCAACGGGTCTGTTCAATCGAGCTGGGTTGAAGCTATACAAGCAGGGGAGCACTCAGTCTTTGTAACCTCATCTTCCTCCGGCTGGAGCAACAACGATATTGGGTTAGCTTGGCTCAAGGGGGTGTTTGAACGGGAGACCAGACGATACGCTTCAACTGGGTATCGATTATTACTCCTTGACGGCCATGGATCCCATGTAACCATGGATTTTATTGAGTATTGCCACGACAACAAGATCCTCTTGTTTGTATTTCCACCTCACGCTACCCATACGCTTCAACCACTTGATGTGGTGATGTTCAAACCCCTGGCAACAGCTTACTCAAATGAGCTGTCCGGATACCTCCAGGACAGTCAGGGGTTACTCACCTTGACTAAAGGAGACTTCTTCCCGCTCTTCTGGAGCTCCTGGAACAGCGTATTCAAAGCTCCACTCATCAAGAGGTCTTTTGAAGCCACTGGTATATACCCACCAAACCCAGACGCTATACTCAAGAAGTTTGCCAAGGAGGCTTCAGATTCCGACAGCAGCCAGTCAGTCCTCTCCGGTGACGATTGGCTCAAGCTCAAAACAATTGTACGCCGTGAGGTGAAGGATCAGAGCAGTAAAGACGTCAAGAAGCTTCAACGAAGTTTGCACCACATTGCAGCTCAAAATCAACTCCTCCACGGTGAAATCCGGGGCCTCAAGCGGTCCCTGGCCATCAAGGAGAGGCGACCAAAGCAGTCCTTCGCCCTCCAGCTTGATGAGGACGAGGTTTACCATGGGGGAGCCAAAATATGGTCGCCCAGGAGTGTACAACGAGCTCGCGATCGTCGGGCATCACAACAACAACAAGCCGAGCTTGAAAAGCTTCAAAAAGCCAAGCAAGCCGAGATCAAGAAGGCAGCACGCGATTGTGATGCTCAACTTAAAGCTGTGAAGCGTGTAGAGCGGGAGAGACGGGCGGAGGAGAAGAGGAAGGAGGAGGCTGAAAAGCTGGCCAAGAAACAACACCAACAGCTCATCAACAACACCAAGAAGCTTATAAAATTATCCAAAAAGGGTAAGCGCAAAGCTTCAACAGCTGACCAGCCAGCTACAAAGCGTCAGAAAGGTGTTGTGGGTGGTACAGCTTCTGTGGGTGCCCAGGTGGCTGCACAACCAGTTCCACCAAAAACCACCAAAACGCGGGTAATCCGCCGCCCAAAAAAAGATTTAGACTAGCGCAAAGTCTTCGCAGGCTATTATATAGTATAAATCTACTTTTGCGCAATTTTATTACGTTTTGTTGAGGCGTTACAGCTGCAATACTCCTGAACGCGTTGTGTTGGGGGGTGGGCGTTACGCGAACCTGGGCGTTACGCGAACCTCTACTGTAGTGCTTGTAGAGTAAAGTGGCGCACAGCCACTGTTACTAGCGTTGGTCCAGATTTCGATCTGACGGAAAAACCTATGCCGACAGTCCGACCTTCAACGTTTGAGCTATAGTAGGCTGAAAGCAGGAGCTGAAATGCCGTTGAATGGTTTCATCTCACAGCGCAGAGATATTACCGCTTCTAGTCCAGCGCAAAGACACTATCCCTTCTACTTCAGCGCAGAGACATTGTCGCTTCTAGTTGTCCTCTATTCACTATCAAACTCAAATATGTAGAGCAGGCAAGATACGTGAGACTTGAAATTATCTGCCGAATAGCTTTGCCCTCGGAAACAAGCTTAGATCTACCTGGTTCAAGCCTTTCGGGTAATTGCTTGTAGTTCTGCTAGATTGCATTATTCTGTGAATACGAATTTAATATACACTTCTCTCGGATACGGCACACAGAGAGGCTAGTGTTTCATGTATTATTCAGAATACGCCGGTCTGCAGAGCTGTTGTACGAACTTGTCTTCTCGGTTCTCGCTATTCAATCGATC